GTAAAATTTTTGTTAATTGAACTAAATATTTTGCTAAAAGATGCTACCGGTTGTCCATCTTGTAGAAGCAGAGCTCCTATCACGAAATCAAATGCATATACGGCAACTTCTAATTTACTGTCAACTTCAGAAAATTTCAAGATGGGAGATTGGATATTAATGCCGCCTTAAGTTTTCAAAAGCTGCGCTCGCTTCTGCCGACCACGTTCGTTGTGCTGAAGCTCATGAAACTTTCCAATGCAAGAAAGATAAATCTGAGCCCCCAAAATGTGCTAACTGCTCGCAGATCGGCCATACAGCCAATTTTAGGGGCTGTGAGAAATTTCCTAAACAGAAAGTGGCTCCTGTTGCCAAAACGTTTGCAGAACGAATTGTGACTAATAAATCTTATGTGCAAGCATTATCTGGCGGACTTGCTCCGGAATCCATGAAAATGATTAATGAGGCCAAACAAGTGTTTCAACAGCTCAATATGTTGGTTTCCTTTATCAAAGAGGCAGGGATTCCTCTTCTATGCAAGAAAAGTCTCAGAAACAATTCTCGACAAATTATTGGCCAGTGTATACTGAATTTGAAAAGAAAACACTGTTTAAAGTCAAGGATTGGTTAAACTCCCCCACTGCCAGCAATTTAATGAAATTAACTACTTCTTCGGAAAGCACGAATTTTATCAAACAATTGAGAACTAAAAAGGCCCCAGGACTTGATGGTATTACGAACACTGCAATCGAGAATCTTCCAATTAATGTTATATGCAGAATTACGTCCATCCTTAATGCCTGTATGACGAATATGTTCTTTCCTGAACAGTGGAAGGTTGCGAAAATTATCATGATCCCCAAGCCTGGAAAGGATCATACGCAACCAGACGGATTTCGACCCATTAGCCCATTACCTGGTTTTGCTAAAATATATGAAAGAATTTTACTAACGAGGATGAAATCTCACTTTAGACAACTGCCGCCGGAGCAATTTGGCTTCCGTGAGCAGCTACCTACAGCAAAGCAATTAGTGAGAATTACTGAATTTGTGGGCCAAGCACTCCACTTGAATTTAAATACAGCTATCCTCATGCTAGATGTGGCGAAAGCGTTCGACCGTGTCTGGCATGAGGGACTAATTTCCAAGCTGATCGATCAAAATTTTGAAAGAGAAATTATCCTTGTGCTTCTTTCATTTATTTCCAGCAGAACTTTTAGAGTCTCTGTAGAAGACACGCACTCCACCGTTAGATATATGCAAAGCGGTATTCCACAGGGTTCTGTCCTTGGGCCGATTCTTTATTTATATAATGTTGCTGACTTCCCGAAAATCCACTACAATAATAGTGCAATTCTAGCATGCTATGCTGACGACACTGCTCTTGCAGTCAGGTCAGCAAATATTAATCATGCAGTTAAAAAACTGCAAGACAATGTTTCTTTCATTGAAGATTTGTGCACACGCTGGAAAGTGCGAATTAACGCACAACGTGAAAAAGAAAAAGAGAAATGCCCCCCTAAAGAAGAATTTGTACTTTTTTAATGAACCTGTGCCGATTGTTAGTAAAGCTAAATACTTTGGTATCACAATTAACAGCCGGCTAACTTGGAATACTGATATCCAAAACGTCCGAAACCAAGCATTGAGAGTTATGAAATGCCTCTATCCAATCATTGGGAAGTACTCCAAACTGAGCCTCCAGAAAAAGAGACTGATTTATCTTTCAACAGTAAGACCGATAATGACATACGCTGCACCAGCTTGGGCCGCTGCAACAACAAAGTGCATACAAAAGCTTCAGACAGTGCAAAATAAATTCTTCAGAATCATGACATGCACACTATTTGTTCGGAATCAAGTGTTGCATAATGTTGAATTGATCCTCTGGAAAATCATCTTTTAACTTCTTCCGAAGCAACTGCGAAAGCTTTTTGCAGATTAAAAGAAATTCTCTCTCAGGCACCTGTTCTACACATATTTAGGCAAGGATATCCATTAGAACTTCATACTGATGCTAGTAGTCAAGGCTTTGGTGCGGTATTACTCCAATTGTCTGATGATGGTAATTATCACCCAATCCAGTATATGAGTAAGAAGACTTCACCGCAGCAAGAGAAACTCTGTAGTTACGAATTAGAAGCCCTTGCAGTAATAGAAGCTCTGAAGAAATTTCGAAACTATTTGTTAGGGACTAAATTCAAAATTGTAACTGATTGTAGTGCTTTTCAGAAAACTTTAGATAAGAAAGATTTAACTCCTAAAATTGCAAGATGGGCAATGTTTATTGAAGAATTCGATTACGAAATTGTACATCGTTCAGGAAGCCAAATGAAACATGCTGATGCTTTAAGTAGAAATGCTTTAATTTTAACATCATACACATCCGATGTAACTGAGAAGATTCGGTTAGTACAACAACAGAATGAAGATGAACATGTGAAAGTTAATCAAGAATTTAGTTGAGAAGGGAGAAGAAAATGGATTCTTCGTGAGAAATGATATTTTGTACAAATTTGAAAATGGTAAAGATCTTCTAGTAGTGCCAGAATCCTTACAGAATGAAATCATACAGAAGGTACATAAAAAGGTCACTTTGCTGTAGATAAAACTGTGAATGCTGTAGAGCAAGAATTCTATATTCCCAGACTGAAATGCAAAGTTGAAAAAGTAATTGCTAACTGTATAGAATGTATACTGTACAACAAGAAGCAAGGAAAAGCAGAAGGATTTCTTCATCCTGTACCGAAAGAAAACGTTCCCTTGAGTACGTATCATATCGACTTTATTGGACCTCTTCCATCGACGAACAAGAGATACCAACACATTCTAACTGTTGTCGACGCTTTTACGAAATTTACTTGGTTCTATCCAGTGAAATCACCAACTACGCAAGAAGTTATTTCAAAATTGAAGCAACAACAGACTGTATTTGGAAATCCAGCCAGAATCATTTCAGATCGAGGTAGTGCCTTTACATCGAAAGAATTTTCAGCTTATTGTACTGAAGAAGGAATAGAACATGTCAAAATTACTACCGGTATTCCAAGAGGTAACGGACAAATTGAGCGAATTCATAGAATTTTGATTCCTGTTTTGTCAAAATTATCACATGAAGATTCAACGAAATGGTTTAAGTATGTTTCCAGATGTTCCAGAGAATAATCAACAGTACAACTACGAGAAGTACGAAATATTCACCGTTTGAGCTTCTCATAGGCACGAAAATGAAGAATAAAGAAGATTTGAGAATTAGTGAGATATTGAATGAAGAATATCTAAAAGCAATTGATGCAAGAACGTGATGAAATGAGAGAGAAGATGCGAAAAACAACATTTTGAAGATACAAGAAGAGAATCGTAAACAATTCAACAAGAAACGTAAGAAACCGAAACTATACAAGATTGGCGACTTGGTAGCCATTCAGAGAACTCAATATGGGACTGGTTTGAAACTACGACCTAAGTTTCATGGACCGTATAAAATCATAGCTGTTCGATCAAATGACAGATATGAAGTCGAGAAAGTAGGATGCCATGAAGGACCAAATTTGACATCTACTGCGGCTGACCATATGAAGCCATGGTCAAATTGATTTGATGTTTGTATCAGCTCAAAACCTAAGGACCTGATACTCTTTTTTTTTTTTTTTTTTTTTTTATTTTTATTCTCTTTGCAGGTACATGATAGTGATGTCCATTCAACAGACATCGAGGACGATGCCTCTTCAGGCTGGCCGAAGCTGTGAGAGTCATCAACGTCCAATGCTGAATTGAGAACCAGGATTATGACGTCATCAGTATAGCATCACCGCAGCAGTAAGAATCATCCCAGACAGCGCTGAGACCTGAGAGTGTGGACAGACGTGAGCAGACGGCTCACTCGTCTTCAGGTTTAGACACGGAGAGCCTTTAGCTGTGATGACTTTAGATGATATACTATTTTAAACTAGCTGGCTATCAACGCCGGAGGAACTCTGTGTAAAGGACTGTCTGTGCATCATTATGTTAATCCTGCATACCGTTAACTTCATCTTTACTTAATTTCTCTTAATTTCTTTTTATTTCTTTCTATTAAATAAACCATATTTATATATTCGTGCTCTCATGATCTGATTTAAAAGGAGAATTCTACATATATAAAAAAAAAAAAAAAAATTAGCTGCAACCAACGAAATTTGCAGTGTTGGACATCATCACAATGGGCTGAGATATTTGCCAGCCTCATTACTGATTGAGCAGCCCTTGTTTAGTAGCATAAACGTAATAGCAGTTTCTCCATGCTTTCTTTGACATGAGGTTTGACAACCCCTGGTTAAGTCATTTGGAAACATCTATTACAGAAACTTATAAAGACATTTTTTATAATGAAAGCATGGATTGATGTAAAGGGGAAAAAAAAAAAAAAAAAAAACTATTTAAAATGAACATTTTATTAATTTAATGATATTTGAAAATTATTTAACAAGATAATTATTATACATACAATATACATTATAATATAAGCAAAATATATTTCTAATGATGAATCACAAAAATTCAATTTTACAAAAATTCTGAGAAACTGAATTTAATTCAAAAAATAATGTCTTATACAAGTACAAATGAGAAACATTTTAGAAAATCTTTTGCTTGAATATGATATGGCACAAATATACTTTTTTTCTTATTTAATGTAAGATTAAACATGTAACATCTTACATGGTCTTAAAATATAAATTTTTATAAATAAAACAGAAATAATTAAAATTTGGATGGGCTGTGTATTCAAATAAAAAAAATATTTTGAAGAATTAAGTAATAAACTATTTTAAAAATTGTACTATGTTTTTAAGTAAATATGTTCACATACTATACCTCTTAAAAGCTAAGTACAATTTTTCTACTAGGAAATTATCATCCGATATGTCAATTTCAGAGCATAATCAATGAATAATATATATACATGCACGCAAAATATTAATATTACATATCACAGAAGGGAAGTATCATATATCAATAACATGCATAAAGCTATTTCATACTTTTACAAAATATTTTATTATTTATTTATTTACAAGGAAACAATCCTCTAAAAGAAAAATTTCAGGAACATAATGTTTTATTGGAAAAGAAATATCAAGCTCTGTATGATGGTTAAACCAATTATTAATATAACTCGAGAATTTTCATTAATATAAAATATTTGTTACCTGTTTCTTTATTAAAATATTTCCCCACATTTCATTAAAAATATTAACTGCAAAAATTATATGCAATCAAAAATTAAACACTCTGGAAAACATGTCACGACTTCGAATCTTCTGAAAAGTCAACTTTTTCTTGCAAAGATATTCTTCTTTTTATAGGTTCTATTTCATTATTAGTTCTAAGGATACCTCCAAAAGTCGCAGAAGCTTTCCATCTGGGAACATCTATTTCAGATTTGTCAGTAGAAAATTGTTCATTAACAAATATATTATCGTTCATTCCCAAGCTATTTAGACTAACTGTGCTGTTTGAGAATAAAGGATTAGGTTCTAAAGTTTCTTGTAATATTTCTGCTCTAGCAGCAATATCTGCAATGCTAGATGAGGCACTAGCACTTTGACTTTGGGGCATGCTTTTGGTTTGTGAGACAATTTTAGTCAGATCTTCAGAACTGTAAAAAAAAATTTCAGAAAGGATTATATTAATTACAAAGTTGATGACTGTATTTACCAGTATATTAAAATTTATCAGCATATTTAAATAGATAAATAAATGAAATAACACCAAATGGTCATGAATACATTTAAATATAATAAAATTCTTTCTCGCAAGTTCAATTTTTTTATCAGAGAATTCCAATAATTGTACTTAATAATAACCATACTATTCTAAAAATTACTATATGCACAACCCATCATTCATTCATTCAGTTTAAAACTGATATAAATGTTACATCTTAAGTCTTTTAAGTTCTTTCTTTTTTTTTTTTTTTAAAGAGGTGCCAGTCATAGTTGCCATAATTTATTGTAGTCTATTCATATTGCACTATAACAGCTGTGCAATGACATTCTGTTACAAACTGATGTTGCCAGCCACTAAATAGCATTTCAGGCATCCTGCCCTCAAAGCATCCTTGATTTCAAGGTAGAGGATTGTAGTTACAAAAGTGCTAAGCTTAATAATCTGACAGCAAGTGCCTAATAATTCATATTGTTCAAAGCTGAGAAACATCAGATGGGCAATGGCCACGGCTGCTCTTGCACAGGAGTGCATAAAACAAGCTTTTCCATTACCACAATCATACCTGAAATCTTTATCATGGAATTTACTGCAGAGTAAATGGCAAGAGCAATGGTCTACTGGTTTGACTGGAAGATGAGTTTTTAAATTCATACCTAAAGTTTCGACAAAACTATATGCTGTTAATACGGCTTTAACACGGTTTCTTTTGGGACATGGTACCTTAAAGAGCTATCCTCGCAGATTTGGCACAGGCGATTGCTGTAACTGCGGTGGATCAGCTGATCCTGAACATTGTCTTTGATTGTCCAGTATTCAAGCAAACTCTTTTACACAGACCACTGGAGCAATACTGGTCTCAGTGGCTAAAAAAACTTTTGACTAATTGTACAGGTATGCTTCAGCTGTAGAGAGTACTGACACAATGCAGTGTATAGGTACAGATTTCTTCGTCAGCAGAAGAATAATAATATTTTAGTGTAAGAGCTGGGGTGAGGTTCCTAGTTTCTTAGGAGTTACAGTTGTTTTTTGAGAATTGTTTACAGTTTTAGTTGTTCTCCAATTATAAGTAATTGTTATAATATGCAATTAGTAATCATTTGTCCCATGTATTATTAATAATCATTTCTAAATTGTAATATTATCTAGTAATATATTTTAATATGTTGCATGATTTAATAATAAGTCTTGATATGTTTTAATATGTAACTTGTTTTGAGTAATTATAAGTTAAAAGTAATTTTATTATGTTACAAGTAATAATGTGTTGTAATATGTAGTGTTGAATGCTGTTTTTCTTTCATCTTAGAAATTATTACAGCATTTACTATGGCATAAGTTGCATTTGGTTGTATATTTAGTATGATTCTTTATTTAAAATAGGATAATTGTTTCCCCATTGCTCATGGTGACTGCTTCTTTTAACATGTCAAATGCTTAGTTTCAGTTTTTATGTACTTATTTGTAATTGTACTTCGTGATTGGTACATGCTCTGATTTGCAGACAAATTCATCTGTAATCGGTCTGCCTCTCTTACAATTTGTTTCGACATGGTCATACTTTTTTTTTAATTGTGGAAAATTTTTATAGCACATTTACAGTACTACTGAATGTTGTTTATGTAACAACAAGATTAACAAAATGCATACATGTTCTTGCTCTTATTTAGTTTTATTTGACTTCACACCACAGTTTCTGTGCATAACCTAATTGTTCGAATCTTTTCTTATATATTGTTTATTTCAATAATTTTAACATTGTATGACTAGAATTATGCATATCGATGAATATCTGATGTACTCCTGGTGTTTGATACTGCAACTTTTTATAATATGTATTGATTTGTAACACGTATTTTTTTAAAATGTATTAGGTTATGATCTGTCTTTTGTTCTTACAATGATAATATGTAACATGTAATTATATTAAGCATTATGTAACAATATGTAATATGTTTTGTGTAATTTAATGTAATTAGTAAGTTTTATATGAAATAAGTAATATTGTATGTATTTGAACCAGTATAGTATATCTTTGCATATATCTCTTACTTGCATTAATAACCAGGTTTTGAATACAAATGTAATAATGTGTAATAATATGTAGTGTTGACTATTGCACTTAGAATTACTTTAATTTAGAGACTGACTTTCTTTGTATATCTCTTCATATACCTGGCACGAACTTATTTATACTATGTTCTATCTTACTGCTAAATATTCCTGTTTGAATCTGCGCATAATCAAATTTTGTTTTGGCTTATATGAACCAGTGAATATTTGGAATGACATACCTACTAAATAATACAAAATTATAACATCTGATTTCTTATAAACGTTATAACATTTTTCATTCAAAAGCAACAGCATAAAGTGCTTAGTTATATCTGAAGGAATCTTTTGTTCAACGTCATGAATACAAGTTTCTCAATATTATGCTATCTGTTCTTGTGTAGATTAACATACAATTGTACTCATAGTTATTTCTCCTGGCACATTTATGACCAAGTATGGAAACATAATGTTTGTTCAATATTGTGTATATCTGGTGTGATCTTCTTTAACTCATTGTTACGATTATATGATCACCGTTAACTGTACTGGAATCAACAATCATCTTGATTGAACTTTTGGATTTTATTACTATGATTTAGTACAAATTCCAGTACCTCTGAGTCATATGACTTGAATCTTGCATGAACTGCACAACACTTTGCTTTCGACAAAACATTTAGTCCTGATTTATGTAACATAAATTATGTTCATTTACACTTGAATTTGGATTCTAGAGAACAGACTTGATTCTTTCATGACTATATACTTCATTTCAATAGCGTGCAGATTCTGAACAGGGTGTTGATCCTTATTTCTCATTTAAATTTGTTTTTCTATTATATATGCCTGGCATTTATCTAACTATGATCTTCTACTTTAAAAGTTTTGCATTTATTGTTACCATGTTTGTTACTGTAGGTTGCTGTCAATTACTGTCTTAACTAATCTGGAAAATCTTATTATAATAACTTCAGATGTATTTCTTAAACGTATGCAACTCTGTATTTTGTACAAATGTAAATTTGAAATTTTGACTTTGACAATTAATGTCCGACTGATCTGTTTTGGCCCTGACCAAGGTTGTGGCTAGTAGATAGTAGATGGTTTTACCTCTGAGTAACATATTCCGTTTGTTGCCTTTAGGCTAACTTAGGTCAGAAGCTGCTCAGTAGGTCAGTGTTGTTGTGTCTAGATTCTTACCTTCTCCAAGTCCTATACTGTCGATTGCATGTGAAGACTCAAATGCTTTCAGCAGTGTTAATGCATGCTTAATTGAAATTGTCAACTTTGTTGCTTGTGGAGCATGAAATTAATGTGGCAAAATCCATTTTTATTTCAGGTGCCTTTTGTATTTATTCTGATTTTAACAAAATAACCATTCATTTCATGAAACTGTACATACTGTTAGAGTTGCCATCTAGTTCATTCTGTGTCAGTGTTTATGTTTGGTGCTACGTTGCACCCTAATAACATAAAAGAAATGTCTTATATATGATTAATATAAAATATTAATAATATAAAGAACTGTGTTACATATAAGATATGCATTAAAGTAACCGTTAATGTTATAGAAATAATAAAATACAGCATTTTTTAGTGTTACATGCTAAAAACCTTCCAAGAAAAGTGATATAGCTATGACACCATTTTTCTTTGACCTAACAATAAAAGTAAAGACCCAAGATATATTTGTTTGGAGCGGGATGTTGCTCATACTGGTTTTCTTATGTCGGCATAGCAAAGGAGAAAGAAGAATAATTAGATCCTAAGTAGCTCAAGTTTAGTTAACGTAGCAAATTGTACTCTTTCTTAACTTTCTAATATGATCCAGTTTATTACTTTGTAGACTATTATTAGTAAAGCTAGCTTATCAAAGTTTGAATGTTCAATTATGTCAAAAAGAGTTTTTAAAATGAAAGCACGTTTCGAAGTCAATCATGCAAAAAACGTTATTGCTGGGATAAAGGCATTCAACAGCGAGATTAACTATTTTGGCAAGGGCAAATTCTGCAGTATTACTCAAATATAAACTTTTCATAATTAGAAAAGATACATGACCTCAGGTATTTAAAGTAGTAAAGATTTACCCTGTGTTCTATCTCTCAAGTAAAAGAACAGGCATGACAAACATTAACGAATGATTATTTTGGAAATCATTTCATATCCAAGGCTGATTTTATTTACTGGATGATGCAAAAATTGTTTTGATTATAGACAGCAGTTCACCTCACACATCATTCAGTTTGAACAAAACATTTTAGAAAAAGATGACATTTATTTCTTACATTTAGTTCCAAGTTATACAACCATCATTCAGCCAGTGGATATTGAAGAGCTGCACGCATTATAATCTAGATATAAATCTTTTTTAAATCCATGCTAAATTTTCTGAAGAACAGTGGCAAAAACATTCAAGAATTTTTGAAATATTTTAACATAAAATTTAATGGAGAGATTAAAAATGGAGAGACTGCAAAGTCACAGGAGGATGTGCCTGCAGATATTTTTTAAAGTGCTGGGCATAATTTAGAGCTAGCTATTATATTTTCTGGAGATGATGATGATAGCTGTTGAAGGTGTTTGGATATCATAAGCAAAAGGCAAAATTTTCCAATTAATTAAATTTATTAATAAAGGCGGAAAAGAGAGAATATGATTCAACAGAAGTTTTTCATTGCAATGACAATACCTAAATTATCAGTTGACTAACAGACAATGAAATCTGTAGTATGGATTTACATCCAGAAATTAAGTCTACATATAAAATTAAAGAGAGGTATTATCACAAAAAACAAAGCAACTTTTACACTGACATATAATTTTACTAGATTTAAACTGATGGCCTAAAATCTGAAAATTTCTGAAACCCAGAATTGCAGAAGTTTTGACGATTCTGGATCTTGGACTTTGTACACCACACAGTATTACTTAAATATTTTTTTAGAGAAGTCTTCAAGTTCTAAGAAGATTAAAGAGAATTATTAGTCTTATAAACAAGATATAACAATTAAAACGATTTATGGTTTCTTGAGCTTGTCAACCTAATTACACATTTAATACTAACATTATAATGAACAAAACATGTTAAGTGTAATAAGTATTGCTCTTTTGTCTAATAAGATTTCTCATTTTACTAGACATAGATTTTTTTTGTTGCAATGGAAAACAATCATAACTAGGATTGTTCTCTTTGTATATCATTTTATTCCCACAGTCATAAGTTGTGTGCATTACCTTACACTTCGTTCACCTTTTTAGATTTTTTAGAAAATTTGTCATGCTGGTTTAAAAACCATCCTTCACTAGACTACCCTACTCTGCCATTTTCTGGTCATAATTTAATCAAAATAAACTTAATTATTAAAACTATAGTCAGTCAACTAAAAATCATTCAATAAAAAAGATACCTTCATTTTAATTACATAATCCCAAATTATTTTCTTGAAGATTAGCATTCTATACTAATAATGTTCTGAAACGCATATGTAAAGGTTATCAGTTACAGAAATAACAACAATAAAGAATTTTTGACTTAGAAAACTTTTATTTTTTTTTTATTTCTAAAATAATAATTTTTTTATATGCTAATCTATAAAAATATTTTTTCACCTTTATTCATAACGTTAGAAACTCATGAATAATTTTCTATTACCTGTGATGTCGACTAGATGGCAAACTATTGCATTGCCTAGGTTGAGGTAATTTTTCTTTCTGAGCATTTCGATGTATTTCAATTTCATCACAAGCTTTTCCCAAAAGGGCAATACTAATGCAAACTTTTGCACTCATTAAGCTAAAAAGAAAATGATTTTTAATAATTTTAATAGTCACAATTATTTCTTATTTTATATGTAGATATTTGAATAAGCTCATTTTTATTGATTAAAACTCTCAGGTGCTTTAAAAACAAATAATAAAAGAAAAAGAGAGAATAAAATAACTAAGGTTTTTAATTTCTCCTACATTTGGTCACAAATGATTACACATTACTCAATATTTGCATTATTATGCAATATAATACTCCCACTTTATTGAAATGGTTGTCTGATTTATAAATTTGTATCCAGTTAAGAATATGGAAGTGGTAAAAGTAGTTTTGAATGTATTACCTTCTACTTTTAGAAAACAGAATTTTGACACATGTTGATTTATTTTCATTATATTATTTTTCATACAGCTATAGGGAAGTAATGCAATAGAAGATCTGAAGAGAAAAATGCAATTATACAGGAGCTATTCAAAACTTTAAAAGTGAAAGATCTAAGCATGGTATTATAGTGGCTATCAGTAAAATGTATGTGAAGAGATTTCGGAAAACATCAGAAAGGAGTCACTTCGCAAACATAATTCATTAAGAAGCCTTGGTGCTGTACAGGAGGCACAGAATGCAAGGAATAAAAAAAAAAAAAAAAAAAAAAAAAAAAGAGCTTAGGGTGTGGTGTGGCATTACGGCAAGTTTCATTCTTAGTCCTTATTTTTTTGAGGAGTTACGGCCATCACGACCTTTAAACATGTTTGGTTACTGCACATGTTGCAAACATTTGCAGTTCCTCAACTGAAACAGTTTCTATGCAAGATAAAGCCCTCAACCCATACTGGGCGAGCAGTACAACAGTCATAATGACAACATTTCACAGATGATAGAGTATTAAGCCAGTATTTACGTATAGCATGTCCTCCTTAATCCCTTAATTTGACACTGTGTGATTTTTGGCTTTGGGGATACTTAAAATCTAATTAGTTCCATGGATGTGTTGTAAACCTCAATGGCCTAAAAGATCATATAACACAACATGTGTGAAACATCACTCCTAATTCATTTTATTTCATGATTGAGAACGTGGTGCATGTTCTGGATTATGTCCCCCAGCTCAATGGCCATGTGAAACCTGAACTTGTTTGGCACCACCATCATGCACAAGCATAAACACATTATCTGTACTATTTTTCAGTAAATTAGGTATGTCATCCAGTTTTACGTTTTCATTCTATATTCTTGTATTACACATTATACATTGAAAAGCGGCATCTATTGCAATTAATTTTTTTATTATTCCATTCTTCTTCCCCCTTCTCAGTTACTGAGTTTTAGTGAGTGCACTGATTTTTGTTTCATTCGGATCATTTCTTTAGGCTACAGACCGCTCCAAATAGAGATACTTATTTTATAACAACCTGGTGTGTATATATATATATATATATAATTACAAATCAATTTTTCTGAAAACAAAACACAAACATGCCTAATTATTTTTGCACATTAAGCTGCAGAAAAATTATCATTAAAGTAAGAAATTTAGAACTAATGTTTCACAAAGAACAGAAATTTAAATTCATAATTAATAAATTTCAAATAATCATAGAAATGCAACCATACATTTAAAAATGCTAAAACCAAAACATTTCAAACAAGCAAAACCCCTCTTCAAAAATTAAAGAAACATGAACAAAAATGGAAGAGGAATTCAATCAATCTCAACGTCACTTCATCAGGGAGGAATATCATGGGATATATTACACCATATCTATTGGTATAAAACACTAAGATCTCCCACAGTTATGAAAAATATGCATAACATGAAACATAATATACACTGGTGGGCAAAAGTGAATGATAGCAAAGGTTTTTAATATCTAGTATTATGTAACATTATTTTAAAACTGTTACAAAGCACACCACAGCATTGTCGAGGTGTAAGATTATGGGAAAATTAATCAAGAAAGGAATCCAAATGATGCAAAGAACCTTTTTTCAAAAGTATGTTCCAAGCACAACAGGATGGAAGACAAAATGTATATGAGAAAGCCAAAGGCAAGGAAAACACAGTCCTCAGTTGGAGATATGATTACCTTTGACAGCAATGATATTATACCATTTCTTTTCATGCTCATTACAAGTTTTTGAGTAGACTGTGGTGATGTCATCCATAAAAGAAACTCAAGGACTACAGCACCTCAGAAAAAAAAAAAACACATGCGAGGGAAGAAACTTCAGTACAATAGCAATCACCAGTGACTACAATACAATAGCTGTCACTAATGATTGAAATTCCTTGGATGATATTCACCAGCCATTATGCCTCTACAAATGAGTTCCTTTCAACAATATTCCTGTCTTCTCTAGACTGGATGTCCTAGTTTAGATGTCCAGAATCACTAAAACTAAAGACCTTATTCATGACCCTTTTAAAATCAGCGTTAACTAAGATTTGATGAGTCATATGGTTCTCACTAAGAAAGGATTAATATTTATGCTCACATCATAAACAATTCCTAAATCATCAGTATTCCATAAAGCACACATCCCTGTTGAGTTCTTAATCCTTCTGGTTCCTGGCACCACAGAGGAAGCACTATCTTGAATGGATAAGGCATCAATAGATACACTGTCCTTATCAAGTGAACAACCACTTGTGTGCAGCCTCCTGGTCACAATAAAACATGGTACAGGCATCCACTAGTAACTACATCTTTTGTGATTTCATTCACTGTTAATCACTTATTGTGGGACAAGATCATGGTCCTCAAACATCATCACTAATTGCTAATACTTAGCCTTTGGATAGCTGTTCCTGTTGTTTGAAATTCTGTCCAATCATGCAACACTACGCCACATGTAGTTCCAAACCAGTCAGCTATTTAGTCACCTTCTTTCAGTTCCCCAATGAGATTTGGGATAACCTTGAGCAAAGTTATCCAAATACTGTTTAGGGGATTGTCAATTAGACATATCACACTTTGATACTAACTCGATGTTGTTCAATCCATGCACTCTGTGCAATAATTTTTACTGATATGCTGGGCATTATTTGCTCTCTATTAGTTTACATCCTTCTTGCTTGCATAGCTGCTAACCTTAAAATCCAAAAAGTTGGGAGAATTTTGTGAGAAAACTGAGGGGGGTGATGGTGATACCATTTCAGAGGAGCTCCAAATTGACTTAAATTCATTTTATAATATATGGTTCAGGTTACTGAACTATTTGTAATGCAGTCCTGTAAAATATATTAGCATTTAATTAGATATTCTAAATTTTATACTGTTTGGCTAATTTTCTTATACTTTTATACTAAGAAAAATTACAAATAGGGAAGAAAAGCTTTTATTTATCAACACAATTTTAACACTTTGCGGGCCGCTGTCACAACTTTTGCTCGCCAACGGTTATCGGCCGCTGTCACGCTGGCATGACTTTTGCTCGCCAACAGTTATCAGCCACTGTCACATACGCGTGACTTATTTTCGCCACCGACGATGCTTCACATCGATGTTTGTATAGATAGACATACTATAGCAAAACATTTGACCATCAGGAAAATTTGGTTTCAACTGTCTTCCTCTCCCAATTCACCAGACTGTCTATTATTGAAATCTTTTTTCATGGACGCTGTTTTGTTAGTTTGAGACTGTCTTTTGCTGCCTTCAAATATCGATCGGAAACTTACGTTAGATTTAAAAGATATCCTTCAAAATGCTCTTTGATGAGAAGAAATATATGCTGATCTGTTATCAGAAGAGGATAATTGCTCTGATAGTGAAAAGTGATTCGGACAGTGGGAGCGATATAATTGTGACACGATTCAAAAATGAGGGAAGACCAATAATTAGTGAATCTGAAAGTGATGAAGAGAATTCTGTGGCAAATGATTGGTCAGAAGTTGATTTTAAACCTAACTTGCATGCTTGCCTGGAATGGTTTGGGTTACAGGTACCATACACTCCAGATATATTATCAACTGTGGAATTGTGATAATATATGACGATTATGTGATGATTTATTTAATTTGTTTGCCACACAAACAAATTTATATCATAATCAGCAGAATAATGATAACAACAATTCATCAACAAAGAATAAAGCTTGGACTGATACAAATGTTGTAGAAATGAAAAAACTTTTGGGGCTTGTTATCATAATGGGAATAGTAAGAAAACAAGAACAAGACGATTATTGGTCTACTCACCCTGGATTACACACAGCTATTTTTGGGAATACTATGCCAAGGAACCGATTTCGGCAGTTATGGAAGTATTGTCGCTTCAGTAATAATGAACATTGCTAAGAAAGGCTTGATAAAATAAAACCTGTTTACTCGTACCTGGTAGAAAAGTTTAAAAAAATTTATAAACCCGAGAAAGAATTATCGCTGGATAAAGGTATCATTCCATGATGGGACAGGCTATATTTTCATACATATATTCCTGCGTAAATTATAAAATATGGAATTTTAGTCCGTATGGTGTGTGAGGCGACATCTGGTTATATATGCAATTTAGAAATATATTGCGCACAAGGAAAATCGCTAATTGCGACAATATTGTTCGTGCTATCGGCATATTTAAATTTATGGCATGATGTATATATAGACAACTATTACAATAGTGTAAAGGTTGCAGAGGAGTTACTAAAGCATAAAACAAACATCTGTGGCACAATTAGAATAAACAGAGGAGTGTCAAATTGTTTAAAATCTGCTACATTGAAAAATAAGTCAATGGAATTTCATAGAAAAGGGAAAATTATGGTACAAAAATGGAATTCGGCCAAAAAATTGATAATGATGATTTCTACGCTACATTCAGCATACATGGTCAAATGTGTGAGTAAAAGAATAAAAAAGTGCATTAAACCAATTTGCATACAAGAGTATAATAAGTTTATGAAAGGTGTATCGTGTTATTCCATACTTCGAAACAAACAACAAACAAACAAAAAAATGGACCAAAAAAAAAGGGGTTTTATATCTCATAAACTGTGCATTATTCAAAGCGTTCCAGATATACATAAAAAATTCTGAAAATCCTATTAGATTCAAGCAAGTTTTTACTAAACCTTGCACTAGCATGGATTAATGGGAAGTGAAGAGGAAGCAACAATCAAGATCGGCTGCTCAATGTGATAAAAGATCGCCTGAGGATTTGATCCACCAGGCAGACTTACTACGGATATGAAGAAAACATAGAATAACACGTACATTAATGGATAATGGGAGAATTCAAAACCCGCGAAGGGCCTTTAAAGTCTGCACTGCCGCCAAGAAAAGAAGTTCCACTTCATACATGTGTTCTTCCTGCAATGTTTCTCTGCATGTTGGAAAATGTTTTCAGAATTATCATACTAAAAAGAACTATGGATCCTAGGAGTTAAATTTTTTAAATAAAACGTTTTAGTACTAATTAAAAAGTATAATTGAAATAAAATGGAATAAAAATAGTGTAACAGTTATTTTAGTGCTTTCTATAATAATAATTATATACCAACTACTTATGTTTCTAAAAATTGTGTAAAAATCACCGTTAGCGAGCAGTAGAACCTGCGTGAAACGGTGGCAGCGTAACGGCGCTTCGATAAATGCGCGGCCCGCAAATTGTTAAATACAATAAAAATAAAATTAATAATTAGTGTATATTATATTTTTCTGCATAAAGTTAGTAATGTCCCATATAACCAAGTAAAGTAAATAACAAATGTTAACTGATTAAATATTATCTGATGTATATTATATTTTTCTGCATAAAGTTAGTGATGTCCCATATAATGAAGTAAAGTAAATAATAAATGTTAACTGATTAAATATTATCTGAATCTTCATACAAAAATCTACAAATGTTTGCAATAGGTTAAGACAACTCAGATAAAATTAAATGTAATAAGAAAAATTTTTCTGCTCTAGGGGTGGAGAAACAAATCTGCATAATTAGTTTATTTATTGCTAGAAAACATTTTCCTTAATAAAGGCTAAAGATTAAAAACTGGGCGATGCAGAGATCTACCAGGAGACATGATAAAAAATCATGAGAGTTCCCAGCTATGGTGCTTGCTAGTGATTAATTATAACCCTTCCAAAATGTCAACAGTTCATCATGTTACATATATACACAAGGTTTATCATAAAAATAAAAATTTAATTTTATCAAAAGACAACAGCAGATATAATTTAATATTAAGTTTCCTTCTTCCAGTGTTTCAAACTTAAAAATTCAACAATTTTTTAATGTTCAAGATGTCATTTCACTTCTGAAGTAGATAAAGAATTATCTGGTTCTTCAATATATATTAAAACCAAAATCTTGTTTCATTAATTCACAAATTGATATAATGATATAATATATTTGGAAAAATAATCTGATACTGATAGTTCCTGCTGTTCAATATTTTTCAGAAAATCTCAAATTATTCAATTGAATTTGAATTTTTAAATATTCACTTTCTTTCCATACTGTTTTACACTTTTTGTTTTTGAACATTATATTCTATTAATAAAAAAATTTTGAAGTCACTGAAATAAAATACTCAAGATAAAATTGTAATAAAATATTCTAAGTTACAACTTTTTTGGATGTGAAGAGCATAATTATAAAATAAAAAATAAAATTGTTTTAAAGATTTATACAGACAGAGGTTTAGTTTTTTTCTCTTTCACCAGAGAATATTTAAAATTTATGCTTAAGTTCCCTGATATGTTTCATGCTATTAAGATTAACTTCCCAGACTAAAATAAAGTTTTCAGGTTGCTTTCTTTCTTTTTTTTTTTTTTAAAAAAAATTGTAAACACTCACATTAAAGCTTTTACCATACATGGATTATGAAAGGATCATCAACATTCATACACTAATAAAGAATTAAATGGATTTCTGCTTAATAGTGAAAAAGTTCTATGTGTAAAAGATACTGTTATAAGAAATTTTTATAAAGTTAATATTATTAACCAATCACCATTAACTTATTTCAAAATGACTAAATATTTAATAATTTAGCTATGCATTTAAATAGTAAATGAAATAGAAGACTATTATTACAACATAAAATGACATATATACCACAAGTAAACAAGGAAGAAACAAAGATATCCTCCAAAACCAACAACTGGTATAGATCCAATAACTACTCTGAGGACCAAAGCACCAAGTGGAAGAGGAATGAAACCCATTCTTCGAGATATCAAGTCAGAATGATCCGCAAATGCCTGAAAGTTTAAGAAAAGCATTTAATTTAGAGAATTTCAACATAAACATAAGTCATTAAATGAAAAATACTGCTACCTTGTTATGAAAAATATATACTATCTATGTATACTTTATTATTTTTTCCCCAAATATAGGATGCTAGTAAATCTAATAAAATCTAAAATCACTATAATAATAAATCTAAAGTGATAAGATTTACATAATATTACTTTTGTAACTTTTAGAATTATATTCTTATTTAAAAGACAAATGTTTATCTGAGTATAAATACCTGTAGAATACAGTAACTTTGATTATTTTAAACAAATTGATACTCAGAAATAATCAAAATTATTCATTAACCATATACTTGATATAAAACTTAAAGCAAACTACCTTTGGAAATATATTAATACCTGAAAATTATTTCCACTAAAAATATTTCTCTGAAAAACAGTAGTTTTACAGCAGACTTCATGTCATTAATATAAAAAGCCACTTTTTTGGCCATAGCCTTGGGTTTGGGTTTAAATTCTGGAGAAGACTGGAACTTAAAATACTGTTGAGCCGCAAGTTCTCTTGAGTGGTTTGTAGGCACAGCAAAGGGTGAGGGAACCTTTGGACCTATCTCACACATGCTCTGCATCAAAATTGAGATGGAGCTTCTCCCTTTTTTTGTGAGTGTGATTTGTTTGCTCCCTGTGAAGCACCTTGGGATTTGTTCTTAATGAAATGGTTAAATGATTGAAGGGTATTACAACTCCCAATAAATGCATTAAGTTGCAAGTGTAGGGACATTTGGAACAACATGTTTATTAGAGCTATAATAACTATAAAGATAATACTGCAAGTTGATTGCAATTTCATTAGACTCCGATTCAAATAAAGATTAGGAATGAAATATTTTTTGCAGAAATGAAGCACTTAAAAACAATTGATCTTGCAGTCTTCTCAAGAGAACGGGGTAAGAAAAGAGCGATTCAAAGCCCTCAAATTATTCCAATGAAACATTTTCAGTTGCAATTAGAATTATGCTTAGCAGATAATCATCCTATACTTTCATGATATCATCAAGTTAATTAGCGATTTGGGCATATTAATTATTTGGTATTTATTTATAGTACACTGAAAAGTATAGCTAGTTAATTTATTCACTAGCTTTTTTAAACTAAAGATAACATGATATGAAATATATTACTATATAAATTATATACTTCAATTTCTTCAGAAACGTAATATAATGATGAATCTTCTAATGGCAACTATCTATAAAAGTGACCAGCATTTCTGATAAAATAAATAAAAAATGTCACTCTGCCTTTAAAGACGAGACAAACTGTCATTTTAGAGAAGATTAATTTTAATTGTTTTTTCACACACTTTTTAAATGATTATGGAAAACAACTAAGTTAACCTAATAAAGAGGAACATTTTTCCTGGAAGATTTAATACTAATTACAAAAGAATGTATTGCTATCTGTGATAAATAAAACACATATAATACCTCCGAAAAAAGTTTTACAAAAAACAAAAGAAAAGGCCATTCTAAACTTACATTTTTCAACTTACAGCTTGCTAAATCATATGCTAGACTAACAGTGTAATCACGGTATACCTTGAAAAAAAAAAAAAAAAAAAAAAAAAAAAAAAAAAAAAGATTTTAAAAGCAGAATATATTTAAAGCTATAGAAAACAAACTTAAATTTTTACTATATAACTTCAAAAAATTTTTTATAAATATTTTTGTAGAATTAACCCACCTCAAAAGTAATTTCATTAAACCGAGTAATGAAGGCATGTTTCATCCAATCAACAAACATTTCAGCAAGAATTACACCAATACAATATGGTAATAGTACCATAAATTGATCTAAAAAATAGTAAACAAATTACAATTTATGCCAATATAATTTACGAGTATTTTAATACAACAAATATCCATGGAAATAACTGTTTACAATTTATATAACACACTTGTTTCTGGAAATGAAACTACTACTCTAAAAGCTTATTTCTATACTGATAAATAAATACACTGAAGCCCGGACTACATTCCAAGTTAACTTCAAGAAATACAAAAAAAAAAAATTCAGATTTTAAATTAAGTTTAAAGAGGCATTTTTTTAACGTTTTGTGTGTTATCATTACTTATTAAATATCATGTTCTATGCACTTAAGCCATAAAATTTAGTTCAAGAGCAATATTGCATAATAAGTTTTAAATGAGCATATCTTTAAAATCTCTGATACAGTTTCGCACGCTGGAGATAAAAATGTTTTTTCTGTACAATGTTGCCATTGCTCACTTTAAAATCCTTGAGTTTGTTAATAAAAAATTTGTTGCATATCTTTAAAATCTCCGATACAGTTTCCCACGCTGGATATAAAAATGTTTTTTCTGTACAATTTCTGTACATTGCTCACTTTAAAATCCTTGAGTTTGTTAATAAAAAATTTGTTTAAGTTTTAAAAATGTAAAATCGAAAATAAAACAAATTCCAAATTTCAAATTTGGGCTTCCATATGCCCATATTCGCAGGAGGATTACGTTATTCAAAATTTGATGGCTCTAGGTATCATTATTTTATCACAATGCAAGAAACATACATACATTTATGTGATTCTTCATTGTTTAATTTCTTTAAATATAATACAGGACGATAATATTTGGTGGCAACAATTTTAAAAGTGAAACAAAGCTTGTAGTGAATCAATGTAAAATGCCAAAACAAAATTAATGTCCCTCTGGGCAAATTGCCCCTTTGGACTAAAAAAAAAAAAAAAAAAAAAAAAAAAAATTATTTATATCCTTATAAACAATAAATATAAGGAATAAAGTTAATTTATATCCTTTTATACAAAACAAAGCTTATCGAGATCGAGTTTACATCTAAGGAAAGTACAAGTGCTATGCATGCACTGTTATATCATTATCTTGCGATGCTTAGCAACAGTTTCATGGTCAACAAGATAATATGTAAGTACCATTTTATCATGTTGGTAGCATGTTATATTTGCAGAAAAGTCAAAATTTAATACATTTGAATCTGACAGATGAATTAATGTGCAGAAAAACTGGAATTAAGAATGATTTTGAAAAACCTATTGCCCAGTGTTATGCACAAAAGTTTGGGGACGCTTTACTGCATGTGGTATAAGAAATTTAGTGTTTATTGAAAATAATAAGAATAAATATATAAATATTTTTAATGAAAACCTGGAATGCAAAATACATTTAAATTCTATTGATAATGATTATAAATGTTTGCTTGTTGGCTATCATAAATCTTTCCAGAAATTATCAAAACTTCCTCATATTCTCCAGACTTAAATTCTATGGAACACAAATGGAGTAAGTGAGAGAAAATATGATAATTTTTTGGAAGTTTTATAAGCAACTAATATATAATATGTAAGAATAAAACAAAGGGAACATTCTTACAGGAAATAATTAGTTGAATCCATGGAACAGTGTCTGGAAAATGTAATTTTATCCAAAGGTTATCTAATAAAATATTGAATGTCTCATTATTTTTTTGTTGTTGTTGTTGTTATTACATATAAATTGTTTATTCAGACTGTCGAATACTTATGTGAATTTACATTTGGAACTTTTTTAATAAATTATTATTTTTTTACCAAAAACGTTTTTTAATACCATTTTGGAAAACAAGCAGTTATAAAACAGATGATTAACAGCATATGTGAAAGAAAAATGATGATCATTTGCTAATATTTAGTAACTGATATTTGGAAATAAAACTGAAAATTATCAGACAAATTAGGTACAGAGAATTATTTCAGACTGAGCTCACAGGCCAAAAACAGAAATTTTTCAGTTGTTTTATACAAAGATTCTAGTTAAGCAGGATAGCTTAAAGGGTGAAACTTTACTAATATTATGTCAATTAATCTCAATAATGAAAGCACATTTAGTTACTACATGAGGGCTATTTGTCTAAGAGCATTCATGAAAAGCTTTTAAAGAAAACTGACTCAAGTTGAGCTTAGGACAAAAAGTTTTCACATTAAACTCAAAAATTTTATTATTAATTTTTTTTTTGAAAAACTCGTACATGAACCACATCAGAAATTAAAAGAATATGCAAATAAGTCTTACCATAACTCCAGTTATATTCCTTCATAGTCTGAATGATGACAATGAATAACAAAATCAAGTAATGAAATCTCTCTCTTACATCGCTACATGACATTTGGAAGAGATTGTTTTTTTCAAATTTCTTGAAAACCATACTCTTCAATTCCACAAACTAAGAATAATAATTAAAATTACAGAAAGTCTATAAGGAAATTTTATAATTTATATAATTATTATAACTAAAATTATACTTACATTATTTGAAAGCATAATTGTGAGTAATGCTTTATTTTGAGAATTGATGGCAACATTTAACGTTGTAGCTTGCATAAGAACAATTATTGAATGAGTAACTAGTGTACTGTTAAAGTAAATAATGACACTTCAAAATAAAAGTATATGAACAGAAATATCCAAATTTCTTTCAACATTATGGTTAGTTAATTAATAAGCGATAAGCATCATACATAAGAAATTTCTATAAGTACAAAGTCCAACATTTGGAACCATCAGGACTTCAGCGATTCTGGATGTCTGTGTTTTCTGGATTTTAGATTATCAGTTTAAATCTAGTAAGATGACATGTGGACATAGCAACACTGCCATTTCATATATTGTTTAGGTCAAATGCTAACCCCCAACACAGCTGGCTCAAAGGCCAGCGTGGTCACAATGGGTGTCAGAATTTAGGGGTAGCCAAAACTTAGAAAACTAGAATTTAGAGGATTATCAAGCAGTAAAAATTCAGGATGGCAAAATTTCTAGAATTTAGAATTGGGCAGTATAATTTAGGGGTGGGAAAAGTTTTAGAATTCAAGGAGGTGCTAGGCAGCAGAACCTGACGTACAGCACCATGTGGTCAGCCTCACTTAGCCTCTAGAGCCACTAAAGGGACAAAAATGTGATTTTGGCCAACAAGAATAAAATGTCAATCAATTTCTCGTTATTGGCTATGGTCCCACTCCCAAGTTAGCAAGTGTATTTGAAACTGACATGCATGAATCTCAGTTAGTCCGGGAGGGGGGGGGGAAGCACTTACGGCACATCTGCTTCCTTTGAGTGCTATGTTCTCCATTCCTAGATTTCGCAAGAGGGTTTATTTTATTTTATTTATCTTTTGGCTGGTGGTTCATAGGTTTGGATATTATATGTCCATATTTTTGATCTTCTACTGTGCTTAGAAAATTTCTAGAGTTGTGTTCAAAATTCAGATAGTTTTACACATTTTATTGATTATTTCCAGAATCGATGGTCAGATTTTAACAAAATTTGGTATGGACAAAGTTGATATCATATAGAGGAAAAAACTCATTCAACAGCTATGGCAACAGACACAAGTAATCATGCCTATGGCTCACTGGCACAGGAAAGTCTAAAAGAGAGGTTGCAAGATTGAACAAAAAGGGAGATTAATGGGAATTTGATCTCCTCTAACAACAGCTCACACAGCATGGTTTCATGCTTTAAATAAGCTAGACAGTATATGAGTTCCTGCTACAACAATGCTGTTTTCAGGTCCTGGAGGGTTCTGGCAGGGAGAAAAGAGAGTTACAATTGTCCTCCCTACAGCAACCCAGACATGTTTTATAAGGTTTAGAAAATCCTCCACTAGAGTACTCCTATATGGATAAGTCTTTTTGTCTCTAAAAAATGAACTTAGAGCCAACTGAACTCTTAAAAAGATTTGCATAGGATTCTAAGTTCCTATACCTTGCAGCAGTCACAGTCAGTTTGTCAAAGACATGAAGGTCTGTATGTATGTCCAACATGATGCCCACCCAGATCATCAAATTTCTGCAGCAACATTTGTCCCCACCCCCAAACACTGGAAGCAAAGTAGTGGTCCTCAGGGCTTTATGCTTAGTCCAAAGCCAATACTCTTTGCTTTGCACGATGGGCTGTCTTGCATGCAGAAGTCAGTGCTATTCCTTATAATTGACTCAAATGAACTACAAGTTCTCTAAATGAATAAATAAGATAATATTAAAAGTTAACAATAATTTATTTAGTTAAATGTAGCTTAAAATTAACATTACTAATAAAGAAACAACAAGTAAGTATACCACTATATTTTCTCAACATTTTGAATTCAACAACAAATGCTGCTTTTCCACAATATGGCTAAATAAAACAAAAACATAAGTTGAAAATCGTAGGCGTAGTAATACTTATGTTTAAATAATGAAATTATTTTACGATCTTTAACATAATCCCACCTTGTAACAAACTGAACTCAAATTTAGAGCAAGAAGAATTAACAAAATTGTGAATATAAAACCATAATCAATTACACAAGATAAATAAAAAAACAAAGTTCACAAATTTATTCAATGAGGAATTTTTATAGTTCTTCCTTATCTACTTTTGGATGGGTGCTTCACTCCAACGACATCAGTGTTCGCAATGAAAGCATCAGGAATATCTCCAATGGATATGTCATTTTTTTAGAAGACACATCTATTAAAAAAAAAGTAAGTCTAACAATGGATAAAGTCTTTGAAAAGGATATATCCTCTCACCTCTGGAGATTCTTACACTCGCAACACCAAATTTTTCAGGATAGATCTTTAAAATTATTCCAGCATCGGACATGATTATGCCCAATTAGAACATCACCACCAGCATTAGAACATTAGAACATCACCAACATAAAACATCATTTCTTCTTACGATCTCATGGGTTACAGGGCAAGATACTCATATCTAAATCTTTGACTAAGATTTTCATGTAACTTTTATACATATTTTATGCATTTCATCAAGGAAGATTGGTCTGCAATGTCAACATCTGTTGCTGCCTCCATGAATAAACATTCCAGGTGTTAGTGGTATCAATTTGTTTGGATCATCTTGTATGTAGGTTAGTGTTCTAGCATTTAAATTACTGATTCATAGTCAAATAGGATCATGATTCATAATCTATAAAGGATTACTATAAAGTCTACTGTTAAGATTTTCCTAATACTCAATACAGAAGTTCTTTAAGTATTCTTACCATTCACTTCCGCCACCTAACTCACCATGCTGCTGTAGGTGGAATAAATTTCCAAGTGATTTTCTGAGAGTTTGAGTACATTGCTATCTTGTCCCAACATAATGTTTCAAATGCTCTGTTAATTCTTCATACCTAAATAGAAAGTTTGTGTCATTATCACAGTAAAGAACTGATACTTGCTTCTTCTTTTTGCAATGAATAGTCTTAAGGCCTGAATGTAAACATCTGTAGAGAACGACAGAGCTAATTTGAAATGGACTGCTCGGTAAATGGAACTGCAGGTAAATAAAATGATCCAAGCTTTATCTTTTGATATTAGATGGAGAGGACCAGCATAACCCACACTATGTACCTCAAAGACTCAGAGAACTGTCTGAGTAACTCTTATTCTAGGTAGCAGGGTGAAAACAACTTCCACAGATTTAGATCTGTAACGCTTGCACATTATGTTTCACTAACTTTTTACCTTTAAAACCCAAAACCTCTCCATAAGCATGACAAGTAAGACTGAAGGATGAGCATGCATTACTTTTTCATGCTTTTCATGAATTGACTTCAGTACGACACCACAGGCAGGTAAGAGAACTGGAAACCTGAAATCCTCTTTTTCATTACTATTCACAAGTCTGGTTCTTATTTTCAGATTTCTCTATCTCTAAATGCCAGCATTTTAATAAGAAACTTCTTGGTCTGGAAAAATCTTTAACTGTATGGACGGAAATTCTTCACAACTCAAGTTTCCTTACTTATTTTCATGTGAAATGTTATTTATGGATAAAGCGTAGCATCCCTGCCACTACTCTCATATTTCTAGTATAGGTGGAAAAATTATTGCTCTAGATTTCTGTTACTTGAATATTGAACATGGAGGATACATTTTCTCTTCTCTTCAATCACTTGTTCTTCATTGACATCTAGCTTTATATCCCTAACTGCCCATTCCAGAGAAGGAAGATATAACCAGCTGGGTCCCTCCCATTTCATTTGCATAACTGTTGCAATGAACAACCCCTGCTCTGCAGGTCTGCAGGGTTCAAAGATCCAGGCACATCTCCATGCTTGGACAGGTGTCGGATTCCTAATTTCTGTAACACGGTTCTGAACAAATATATCCTCCAAGGCATCTCTTTTTAGCCAAACTAATACTGTGGTAGTGTCAATTCAGAAAAAACATCATCTGTTTGAAACTCTTAACCATTTGTCCATTGGTAACCCTATAAGGGATTTAAGACCTTATGAGCTTTGAATCATCACAACGTATTATATTAATTTTTGACGATTCAAAAAAATATCAAAAACTTTTTTTTTATTTCAATTAAAAGTTTATAGAAAACATGTCAAATATGGGATAAAAGATGATGCCTTATAAAACAATATTCAATTCATATTTCAGTGTTTTCTCATTATACATACCCTCACGGAAAGTTGCAAAACAGCATTCACGGGACAAAGCAATATGTTGCCAAAATAGTTACGTGGAAATCCACAATGTCAATAAATATTATTTATGTGGCAACCCAAGTATATGTTACTGTAAAAGCCCAAAGTCTGATAAACAGTACGCTTTACTGTTAAAATCTAGCTTTTATCAAAGTAGCTTGGTAAAATCCTAAAGTATGCTTTAAAATTATTCCATTTCAGCTTTTACCAAGCCTTTGTGGTAAAAACTAGGAGTTACCAACACCTTCCGGTAAAAGCCCGAAACGAGATATTTAAATCGAACATGAATAAGCCTATGCGCACAAATTCCATTGTGACACTTTTGTGCTTTTGCCCCTCCTTATCTATGGCATTTGCAGTCTAGCTTAGAGTGAATTCAAACTAGTGCAAGTGGCTACGATCTAAAATAGAAGCAGTTTTTTTTTTTTTTTTTTTTTTCATTTTAACATGTTTTGCATTTTTTATTTTGCTTAAAGGAAATGAGTGATGTTATGCTTAAAAAGTTTTATGACATTTTGTCTGAAGCTGTAAAAAAAAAAAATAAGCACGATAACATTTAGCAGCATGATTTATTTAACAAATGAGAATACACTTTTTTAATAAATGAAGTGAAAGAAGCAAAATGTGTTAAGGAAAAACACAGTTCAGTACAGAAGGTTGAAACACTATGACATTCTAAATATAGGAGAAGAGGACAAATTTATTGCACCACTATCTGCAAAAAAAAAAAAAAAAAAAAAAAAAAAAAAAAAAACAGAAATCCTGTACTATGTTACAATTGATGAAGTCTTCAACATCAAACATGATGCTCATATCTCAGTTGGCCGTGGTGGAAGAACCCGTATGATTAAGGAACTGAATTGGAAGAAATGTAACAGTAGAATCTATCGTCACATATTTGAAACTATGTTAACCATGTCAGGAAAACAAAACACTGTGAAAAAGGGGATAGTAATCAAACCAATTATGCATAGCAAAATGAATTCTCGATACCAAGTTAGACTTAATAGATATGCAGTCCAATCCTGATTGTATTATAAAATTTATTTTAATGTATCAAGATCATCTTACAGAATTCATCCTATTCAAAAGTTCACACAGTAAAAGAGCCGATGAAGTAGCATATCACCTTCTGTATATTTTCACAACTTTTAAAGTCCCAAGCATTTTACATTTTGACAAAAAGAGGGAATTTTGCAATCAAATCATAAACAGTTAATGTGAAATACGGAGTGATATAAAAATAGTTCATGGTAAACCGAGACACAGTCAATCGAAGGTTCTGTCGAATATACAAACCAAGACGTTGAAAGCATGTTGACAAAATGGAGGGAAACAAATAAGACAGAAAAGTGGCCGGAAGGATTAAAATTTGTTCAAGCAATAAATAATAAAGCATAGCACAAGGTAATCATGTTCGCCATAAGAAGCTATGTTTGGTTGTTCTGTGAAGCTGGGACTTGCCAACTCATTGCCATGTGATTTGATCAGTAACAAGGCCACTGAAGAGGCCTTTGAAAATTATAAATATTAATAATGAATGTATGGTTAATGCAGAAGATGAAGGCACTAATCTTGAATCAACAGATGGTTTTTAGAATTCCAAGATGATAATAATACATGTGAAAAAGAATTATGCATAACGATAGAAGTAGATACTAAAGTTCAAGTCAAAAATAGAACCAGATATATGCCCTGACACAACAAGTGCGATTATCAACAAAGTTAAAATGTAAAAGTGTTTCAAGAGACAGCTAAGGAAGGACTTGAGAAGCTGATGAAGCCTGCATCCACTACAAACTTTCCAAAACCTACTCTCGGACTAAATGTTAAAAGTACCTGATATTGATAGATTGAGAATGGATCCAAAATACAATGTAACTGTATACAATATAACTGCAAATGGAAAATCTCATCATACGTTATCTCTTATTTCGAGCTTTTACCGGAACACATTGGTAACTCCTAGGTTTTACTGCAAAGGCTTGGTAAATGGCCAAAATGGAACCATATTAAAGCATACTTCGGACTTATGTTAAGAGATTTTGCCAATAAAACCTAGAATTTACCAGACTTCGGGTTTTTACCATAACATATACATGTAGAACATACCTACTATTTTGCTTAGTGTGTAATGCTGAATTGTAAGGATAGTGAGCTTGCACATTTTTAATTTTTTTTTTATGTAAAAACAGAATGCTATGAATGTAGGGAAAACAATAGCATAAAAAGAAGGATTTATCAAAAAAGGCAAGTTTTTTTTTTATCAAAGATATTTCTTGCTTCTTAAATTTTATTGAATGATTGCTCTTGCATGGAATTCCTAGAGTGCTGCCAGCTTGAAAATGGCTGTTGCCTTTCACAGATCAGCTTAAAGAAAAATTATTCAGCAACATGTTTGTGACTTTTGGGTAGCAGTACGGAAAATCACTAAGTACCAATATTTCTAATATTTATCACCAACAATAATTAAAATACTTAAAATATTAAAAAACTAAAAAGAATATAAATTTCCCATGTAAAGACGATTTAACTACTTGTTATTAAAAAAAATCAAAAATATATGTAATGCTTTTTCAAGTAAAACACCTTTATAACGATATAATAAATTACTGTGATCTTTTTCATCCTTTGGTGGAATTTAGTAAACAAATAATGCAAATATTTAAGAACAACCAATCAGATTTTGATTTAAACATAAGATTTTTAAGATGTGAGTGATCCTTTGGTTCAAAATTAAGTAAATATGGTGTAAATAAAGGATACACACATAAACAAGACTTATACTAAGGTGAGGTATCAAACCAAAGTGTTCTCGCTTTCTTCCCCGTGGTTCTGTTGCAGTCCAATATAAAGCATCCAAAATATCTTGACCAAAAGATGAAAAAAGTTTGTCTGCTACCTATAATTAAATTTCAGATTAAGTCAGAACATGCAGAAAGATTAACAAATTTAATTTTCAACTGACATATAAAAAGTAACATTTCATCTTTAAAAAATTCATTTCATTTAATCACTATATTTATAAACTTCAATTCTTAATTAACAAGTAAATACATTGAGTATACTTATTATATAAGTCATATTAAACTATGTAATTTCTGAAATATAAGAAATTTATATTTGTGTCATTTGTAAACAGCTCATGATTTAATAGAATTAATTTTGCAAATTAAACCAAAATATAAATTCTATATAAAATAGAAGTGAACTCATATGAACCCTTACCTCTAACATATTAAACATTATGTATAATTTAATCACAGACTGGCTCTTCACAATATGATACATCATAGATGTGTCAACATACATCATGGCAAAACTCACACATCCTAAGATTACAACTTTTAAAAGGTCGCATATTTCAGCAGGTTGTAAACTTCGATAACAATGACGAGTTCCAAAGAATGCACTGAGAAAAAATTATGAGAACATATTCAGATTAGAGATGTTAAAATCAAGTACACAGACAAATAAGTAAGGAAAATGTGCAATAATACAGAAAAAATAAGATGGAAAGGAAAGCAATATCAACTTAAGCAAAGCAGAATTGTAATTAAGAAATACTTAATAAATTAAGAAATACCAAGCAAGAATACTAGGTTATACGTAATGCAGACTGACTTTATTCAGATAAATTTTTAAAAAATGAAACACAGTAAACTTTTTAATAATTATCACCAGCACAAAAAATAACCTCATCACCAATTCATTTAATTGCTAATATAGTATACTTAACCATCTGTATCTGATGCACATGGTTCAATATATTACATTAAGGTATAATAAGCAATGATTCAATAACTCGTTGAAATTTCAGAAATGTGGGAAAAATTTTAGATCGTAACATACTTAATTTTGAATTCGATCAAAGTGAGCAAAGATGTTATATCAAGCACTAAAGAATGGGATAATGAAGCATATAAATATTGATGAACTAAAAGCTTACATGAAAAAAAGAAGATCAAGTTCGATACTAATGCAGAGTAAGCTGAAATGTCTATAAAAAAATTAACAACCACATTTTAATTTGAGAATTATTAGCTTGCAATCTGGTGCTTTAAAAAAAAAAAAAAAAAAAAAAAAAAAAAAAAACATGTAAAGAGATGAGAAAATACCATAAGCACCCCTAATGTAATTTTTACAAATATAAATAAGAACATTTTAAAGCAATTTTCATTCAGTTTATACATAAAATTATCATTAATACACTAATAACCATGGAAAGAAAATAAAATTTTGTAAATAATTTCTATTCATCCCCCTTACAGGTTTATAATTTCTTCAATATCTCAGTTTCAAATAATCTGAGGTACTGATGGAATCAATCAACCAGAATGTGTGAGATATTACTGAATTTAATAAAAATAATTCAAAAGTAGAGAATGTTCTAAGAATTGCACTAATATACATAGATTAACCAACTTTACTAAAAAAGTTAACTTTATTTATTGAGGAATGATGGAAAAATTTACTAGTTGTAAAGTTTTTGTGAGAAATATAAAAATGAAAGAGAAAACTCGTACGGTAACAGCAGTGACAGCAGATATGCCATAGTATTTAAAATCTGTTTTTATTAACACTAGTACATAATTTAATTACATACATGAACACCATTCAATCATTTACTGAAAATGAATTGCTAAGTCATAAAAAAATAAGTTAATCTTCTATTTTAAATTGATTCCTATTGAAATACAAGAGCAATCTAAACAAACACATTGCTCCCTCTGTTTTGAATGTTTATATAATTTACAGAACCAAATAAACTTAATTTGTTTTGCTAATTATAAAATAGGATATCAATCATTAACATTTTTTCAGATTAACCTTGATTTTAGGCTAACTGCAGACATTGCTCCAGTTAGAGGGGAATCTATTGTATTTGTGGCAAAAACCAGTTTAACAATCTAAATTTTATGAAACAGATTACAATAAAATTTAATTCCATTTACTTTACTAAAAAATAAACCAAGCTGAATCAGAAAGCAAATGTAATATGTTAAAAATTTACATTTTAATTTAATCATTTTAAATGCATTAAATTTTTGTGGAATACTTAATAGTTTTTCTTATTACAGCTCTCAGCTACATTACATGGCATTTCAACAAAGTTATTATTATAACCTTGGAGAAAAATTACTAGAAACTATTACAACAGCCTAGTTTCTTTTTTCTTTTTTAGAGGGAGGGGAGAGACTTCTAAATTTTCAGCTACACACACACACACACCACACACACACACACACACACACACAAAAAAAAAAAAACTCAAGTTACTTATCTTTAGGAAAGTATAAAAAATGTTTAATCAAACTTGTATCTTCAAAATCTTTGAATAAGATTTTTATTTCAGTATAAATTGATTAACTCCACTTGATGATTTTCTCTCGGGCATTACTCATGTTCATTTTTAATAGTAATGAAAATAATGTAAAATAAAACTAAAAATCATTAAAATCTTAAACCTTTATTCAAACTCTTTGAATAATAATGCTAATTAAAATAGGGAAATGCATTAGCAGGCTGCATAACTTTGCTTCAGGGATCACATGTGGCCCATGGGTTGCCAGTTTGAAAGCACTGTAATAATGTACTATATCAATATTTTCAGGCATTTATAAATATTTTTAAAAAATTAGGTACTTTTCCATTTCGCCGGCGCAAATCTCGCCAAAGCAGACTTTATTGGCAACAACATACAGTATGCACATAAAAAATGTTAACAAATGTTAGGTCTAATAATTTTTTATTTTGAAGGCATAAACATTTTAATATCGTTTAAAATTTTGTAAAAATCCAATAAATAAAGACAATAAATTTGTAAAAAGACATTAATTTAAGAATTTACTATGCTTTCATGGTTCAACATCCTGATTCGCCGGTTCATATCACGTGACCCCAAGTGATCTCATCTCATGTAAACTATGCTACAAAATTCTAATTCTCTCAGTAATTATCTACATTAATTTCAAGTTAAATCTTAATTTTGGAATAAAATTTTAAATGCATGAATTATTTCAATTCGTACGAATAGCTTACTCAGAAATTATGTAAAACCGCAGTGCTTTACTTCGCTAGTGCCTAAGGATTCTTTGGCTAGTGCATTGTCATTAGAATTGATGAACTTAATCCTTAACTTTGCCTTTTCCACATTTTCGGCTTCGGGTAAGCGGTGTGGCTACATCCTAATTGACTTACCGCGAATGGCATAAAATTGAACTACCTGGTAAACATTCTATGTAATTGTATGACAGTATTGAAAGAAAGTTGTGACTTGTTTTGAAAATGAGGCGTAAAAGGTTACCATCGAGGATATTCCGTTTGGGCATCAGTTGTACCATTATTAGCGACTTTATCGCCTGTGCCGGCAAAACGGAAGAGTACCAAAAATTAATGTAAGAAAATAATCAGAAATACAGCAAAGAATTAGACTGACAATCCCAAAGAGAATGATTAATCTTACTTTCTATGCTTAATAATACTGCACTTCATGCATCCTTTTTACTTACTTTATCACAACTTTTAGGGTCCTTGTGATCAGAAACCAAACTGATAAAGCAGAACGCAAAGGCAGAAATGTAAAAAGGAATAAAAATGCATCCACACATTGGAAAAACCCATAACAAATAAACTGAAAAATGAAATTTATAAAAATTATAATACGGAAATTTTAATATAAACTGAATATTCAGTTACAAAAAAATTAAATTCAATAATTAATTTAAGAACAAAGAAAAAAAACACCTTCTCAATTTCCTTTGGAATTTTCAAAAATATGTAAAACTTCTCACGTCTTTCAGTAAATCGCTGTTCATCATTTTCTAGTAAATAGCCCCTTCTTAACTCACCATATAAATAATCAAACACAGACACACCTAATTTAAAAAAACAAAAAGTTAAACAATTTTAAGATTTCTAGGAAATTGAGCTAGCAACATACTGACAAAGAAATAACTACACTTATTGTTAAGTTCTAAAATTTAATTAATCATATAATGAAATGCTATTCATACTGATCTTTCTTATATAACATTAAATCTTAGATTTGCAACCAAGTTATAGTAAGTTGTGAATTTACATTTTTACACATAAAAATAATATATTTTGTCATTATACATTTTTAGGTAAACACTTATTTATATACGCGAATGAATATGCTACTACTGAGGCACTGATACAAATAAAAACAATCAAGAGTTCTAAATTGGTACATTTTGTTTGATACCAGTCTAGTAGATTCAAAATGCAATAGTATATGATTTGGTTGGTTGGTAGGTTGATTTTTTTAATGGCACAAAACCTCGAGGGTTATTATGCGCCAGACAAATGGTGAATAAAATTCAAAAACAATAGTATATGATTTATAGAAAAGCCTACTATGACGCAGCTGAAATCATATGACACAAAAAGGCTTTTATTCTTCAGCATAACACATTTTCGAATATTATTTGAATCAGATTTTAAGAGGAGATAATATATTGACGCACGAAAAGAGAGAAAATGGGGAAAACTTGAGAAAATTAATAACATATTAATTAGTAATTTTCTCAAAATATTTTTTTATAAACATTCATAAATATTCTCAATAGGTACACTGTGAGGTTTCCATTCATGTAGGTTTTTTTTTTCTTTAAATAAAATTTTCTAACATAATATCAAATTTATTGCAAGCATCCTACTTCTTAAGTATCCTTGGGGAGGGGAGATGTGAGGTAATTCATGGTGAATGCAAGAAAATTCCTGACCAATCAGCCAATCACTTATCTGTTAATTTTTAATAAAAATTTAAGAAGATTTATCAGCATTTCCTCATTTACTGTGTATGAGTTGAAGTCAAATTATTTTCTGAATTTACTAATGCAAAAGTAAAAATAGTTGGGAGTGACAAAAGCACAAGATAGTTCTGTTTTTCTACTACATTTTCTTTGCAGTAAAGTCTTATTTCCTTTCCTCTTACATGTCTCTTCAGTAGAAGAAATTCCTTGCTTGGTAGACAGTTGTAAATATTTTTACGATACTCTGATTATCTGCTCCACTTCCACAAGAATGATTGGGTAAAGTGCTGTGTCGCCAAAGTAGGCAACCCAAAATTTTATGAAAATATCTTTACTAGGCAACTCATTTTAAAACAGCATGATGCTGTGTTCAAAACCGTTTTTAATCATAACAGCTTTTTCCGAATTTGTGCAATTCTCGGATTTTTTTTAAGGTTAAAATCATGCTGATGTGTACATGGAGAGCACAGCAAAGTTGCTCTGTTATACACCAAGAATTCTGCAATTCTCTGATTTTTTTTTTTTTAAACCAGGTCAATATGTACTTGAGTGATGCCAAGTTATTATGTACTGCAGTTCTCAGTTTTCAAAGTTAAAACAGATTGATGGGCACATGGAGAACAGTGCAAGTTGCTCTGTGATATTGAGAATTCTGTAATTCTCCTGATCTGTTTAAAAAGTTAAAATCGATTACCTTCCACAAAGTCAGAAGATCTGGACAAAAGAAAGTGTTTTATTATGATGTTTGCTGCATTTTAAATTTAATTTTTTGCTGTTTCACTGAATTTTCAGCATTTCATTTTATAATGTTTCTCACATTTTAATTTTGTTAATTAATTTTTTTTTTTTTAAATAGCTACTGTTTTACATGTGTTAGGTTGGCAAAATATTAGTCAGCAATGGTTGGTGATTTTGTAGGAAGATGCAGCTGATAATCAGAAAGTACGGTATTTTCTTAAAGTATGTTGTAAGTACTATATTTTCTTAATAGTATGCTGGAAAGCAAGAATTAACTGTAACTAAAGTGAAGGATGACGTGAACAAATTCGTAAAAAAAAAACAAATTGTAGAAAGCCAAAAACATTTCTGGAAAAGAAAATGCATAACAGTTAAAATGTTAAAGTTAATCATTAAACTTTATGAATACTACACTAAATGTATACTCAATATTCTCAGAAGCACAGCATATTATTTCTCATCTCTCTGATCTATGAATTGGATCAGTTTGAAATGTAAATTGGTGGCTTTAACAAAAAGACCATAAACATATATTTTCACGAAGACCTATTGAAGACTTGTTTGAGGACAGAAGACCCATTTCATGAAACTTATTGGAATTGAAGACAGGTTGATGGAAATGGTCTGAGAGAAACCTGGCACAGAATATTCATTCATCTTACAAAGTGGAAAATCAAAATGCTCAGTTAATTTCAATACGAAAATGCAAGAATTTAATTCAGCTACAAGTGTTTATTTTTTTTTATGAAAAAAGGCAATGTAGACAGATCTCACTCCAGTGGCTGAACTTTCAATCTGAAAATTTTGGATTAGAATCTAACATCTTAAGTTAATCTTAAGAAAATCAATGTTATGATAATATTCTATTATATATTACTGCCATACATAGATTTCTGAACTTATTTAATAAAGAAATGAATTATTCAAGACACAGCAGTGCATATTTTTCAGTGGCTTTCTGATGAATTGAATCTATGATACATATTTGTCGCAAATGAAGTGGTAAAAATTTCTAGCTTGCCCAAACAAGAAATTCATATAGGGAAAACCAGAATTTCTTTGAGATGTTTAAAGTAAAAACTTAAAAGAGACAATGAAAACTTTTTACCCATTTCCTTTTTACCATTTTAAGGATTTTACTTTTGTTAGCTCTATGTCCAAATATTGAAAAGGGGGGACACTTTCAACAGGTCTTTAAATATGATGAATCTAAAATATACATTTAACTATGGTAACCAACGCTTATTAAAATTCCTTTCATTCAAAAAGTATTTCAATTTAATAAATGGCGATTTATGTATTACATATTATGGTTAACAGTTTTAAACTTTTCCAGAAAAATAATAACTAACAACTATTTCATTAATTAATCCAAAAAATAATCATTAAAAATTAAAAACAGAATTAAACTATTTATGCAATTTTTCAATTTATTTTTAAATACTTTATAAGATTTTTTGGTACTACAGTCAAAAGTCGTTAATTCGGACACCCATAATCCGGACCTCAAAGCTAAAAACTTTCTGCGCATGCACCGCGTTGACACATGCGCATAGGCGTTTACGCGTGCATGTAAGACCTTTACGCGCACTTGCATATGCGTGTGCACAAGTCCAGAATACGTTTTCGCGTGCGTGTTTAATGTATAAAGGACGGTGCAAGCTAAAATTATATAATTATCTATTTCAGTTAATGTTGATGATTGCGTTGTTTCTTAATCTTTGAATTGGATGCGACTTATTATTTTTTGCAGACTGTAAGAGCAATTTTATAAAAGTAACTTGAACTTTCGATTATGTCAATTTCCGATTCTGGACCTCCCAAAGGATCTACAAAACGAAAGTATGTCTCGATGTCCGTCAAACAAAAAGTGGAATTGCTGCAAAAAATGGATAAAGACATGAAGAAGGTGACAGAGAGGTTAGTGAAAACGAAAAAATTTCGATTGACAAGTTGGTCGGTATTCTCGGCACAGCAATTACGGGACTTGTAACTGAACAAGAAATTATGTCTGTTTATAGAATTAAAGAGAAAGTATTATCACATAAAACGAAACAACTTACATTGAAAGAAATGTTTAATAAAGTAAACAAATAAATATTAAGCTTTATTTTTATTTTTATTTTTTGTAAATTTTGATACCCTTTAGATCATAATTGTTCTTTATTTCATAAATTACGGTTTCATATTTTTAATTTTAGAATTTGTGCATGCTTCTTACGAGATTTAAACTGATGATCTATAATCCGGAATCGCCAAAGTCCTGACGAGTCCGGATTAACGACTTTTGACTGTATTCCATTTTGAGGACAGTAAAAAAATTGCAGCGAAAATGTATGCGCAAAAGTGTATAGTGACTTCCTATATGTTTTACCACCAATCCTCGAATTCCATATCACAGATTATGTTCTTACTGCATTAATATAAATATTAACAAGACATAGTGCACAATAAAAATTAAGCTTTATTTCGGAACTTCGCGCACACTGCCCGACAGCCTGCCTGTTTCGCTCTGCTCGCTACTCGTAAGAAACTTCTCCTCTAGGGTTGCCACACTTATCGGAGGGCGCAAGGCGCGCTCCTATCGCCATCACCACAGAGTTTCCCCCCCCCCAGTTCCTTTGATGGCTAATCAAAGGAACGACATCAGATTATGAAAATATCTCAAGAGGATCCGTACTGTCGGGTATTTTTTTTATAATTACAAAATTGGAATATAAAATTAGAAAAGATCAAAATGCAATTCAATATATAACAAGGTAATGACACATATAATAAACATGAAATAACAAAAAATATGTTAAGATATGAATTTAAAAAAAAAAATGTTTTAAATTGTTATGTAAGAAGCAAGATTTCTTAGGGAAGTGAACATGTCTTCCCGATCTGGTGGACAGTTTGTGTCTTAGAGAGTTCGTTTGCAGATTTATTCTGCTGAACTGTCTTTAAGTCTTTATTTGTTTTCAGTTCAGGCAAATTAGAGTCCGAAAGCAAATAAGCTGGTTTCACACACGGTCTATAGACACAGTAGATTTCAGACCGTTAATATCAATTGTGAAAGTTTTGTCCGTTCTAGAAAGGACTTTATGTGCGGACCTGTGTATGGTTGGCACAGAGGTGGGCTTTACTCGATCGACACGTAAGTATACATGCGTACACGACTTTAAGGTAGCACTTACGTAACACTTTTCTTGGCAATGTGCAGATGTTGCTATTGGATTCAATTGTTGCATTCTATGCTGAAGATTCGTGATAAATTGTGTGTCATACGGAGATATCTTAGATGACGTTATCATATCACTAGGCAGCTTGAGAGTTGTGCCGTACACCAGTTCAGCACAAGATGACTGTAGATCTTCCTT